GTACAGGGCATGGGAATGCAGAGCATCCACCCAGCTCCACAGCCTGAAGTTGAGTCCATTGGGGCACTTTTCCCCTCCCAACACCTCACTTGGTAGCGGTGACCAGCATGAGTTATGTCAGCGTCAGGAAGCCTTTTCCTCCCGGCTCTTCACCGACCTCAGACTGGGGCTATGTCCGCACTCGGACTGGAAAGCCAGATGCACGCGGGAAGCAGCAGAGGGGAAGCACCCTGAGCCAAGGTGGATGGAGCCACGGGCAAGCCAAATGGCCCCAGCGCACATGGGCATGCGCCGGTAGGGCGTCCTGGCTTCTGTCCCGGGGGAGCACATTGCCTCGGGCTCCTCCAAGGGACAGCCCTCCAGCCCAAGGGGTCCAAAGAAAAAGAAAAAAGAAAACCACAAGGGGGTTATGTCATGAGAAGAGAAGTTAACACTCATTTTGCGCTTGTCATTTAAGTAATTTCAGAAGGAAATTCACATTTAGAAAGTCTAAGGATATTAATGCCTTGTTGTGCTCATGTACATTCTGAGTACTGGAGGGAACAAGGGATGCTAGGACCAGCCAGAGTGAATGGTGCAGGTTGCAAATGGAATTGGCCATCATTTGAGTTTAAACAAAGGGAGAAATTAAATTAGGGAGCATTAGGAGGGAGCAGTTTCCAACAGTCCACACGCCTCCTGGAAGTGGTCACGGCCTCTGGCAAAGTAAAAGCCCACGTTCAGCTAACTGGCTCTGCCTGCTTTGCACCTCCCTCCCCTCTTGCTGCCCTTGCTCTCTGCAATATTGAATTTGCAAGGGTTGTAATGACTAGCATTTAGCCATGGCTAAACACCAGAGGTTCCGAGAATATGACCCAACAAGTCTGAAGTTGGTAGGGAACAAACAACTGGACAAGACTTACAAAAAAAAAGAAAAAAAAGACATCTACTACTGTATCTACTACCATCTCTTTTATAAGGCTAAAGCAATTTGCATTCATCCCAATGGATGATCTTCAGATTTGGGAAATCTGTTTCTTTAGCTCCTCCAAAACCCAAGATTTCTTAGCTACCAACACAGACAAGCTGTACATTTAGGCATACCCCTTATTCCACAAAACATCTTGCAAGAAAGCTATATTTGATGACATCTAAATGCACTTCAAGAAACTTAGGGGGCCAAGAAGTTCTACTTGCCTTTAGACCCTATTCAAAAAAAAAGCTGCTACAGAATGGGAAAAAGACCAAGTTGATGCAAAATCCATGAGGCCAAAGCAGGAAGATTGAATAGTTTACCCCAACTGATTCTTTTCACACTAGCACTGAAAGAAACTACTCCTCTAAGAACAAGGCACTGTTGCAGTTCAGTGAATCGAAAGGTGCAAAGCCTGAGGAAGTCAAATTGCAGGCAATAGAAGAAATAAACTCAGAAAAGTATCAACTGTTAGAGGCTCTGCAACCCTGTCCGGCCGTATCAGCCTCAATTAAGAAAGCTGTTCAGGGCTTACAGTTTGATGGAGGCGCAGCTTTACAACAGGAAGGATGCTGAGAAACATTACCTGTGGGGAAGAAGCTCTCATGCCCTGGAGAGCATCCAAAGCAGAGCGCATGCAGCTATGCAGCTCCCCCATTGCTGTTTTCCTGGGCTGCTCTGCTGCACAGCTCAGCTAGCAGTGGAGGCTCAATCCCATGTGCAGGACCCTGCCACCCAGCCTGCCCTGCCTTTTCTCCTGGCGAAGACGGAGGAGAGCTGCTAGAGCAGCAAATCTGGGTAGTTATGTGAGACCTGTGGCTTCTGCAGCTTGCCAAGAGGAAGAGACAAGGAACCCGAGAAAGAGGTGCTCCTGTCACCTCACTTAAGTGATGGAGTATAAAGACCTCAGCTTACCCATGGCTGGACCCATGAGGACAGAGGCCTGGCAGCCAGGACCAGCGCTCACAGTTGCCAGGACTGGCCCAACCTAGACAGGCGGCCGGGCCTCAGATTTAAAACAGCACGTAGCTTGAGTAACTGTTCCAACAAGATGAATGATAAGAGATGGAGTTTTGCAATGCAGAAGACACTGGCATTTCTCAGGAAGGTTACTGCTTTTTGCTTCTGCTGTTCTTGTCCGACAGGATCCCTTCTCGTTTGACCTGAGAAACCTGCAGTATTGCCAACCCCAAGGTGATCAAAAAAAAAAAATCATGAGCTAGATTTACTACAGCAATCCCCCAAAAGAACTATTTAAAAATAGTAAGTTAAAACACGCCACATATCTGAAGCTTATTTTTAATTTATATTTAAAACTTCAGCATTTAAGTTTTCACACTTTCCTCTGCAAATGCTTAAAGAAAATTAAAATCAAGTAACTTGGACCATCACATAATCCTAAGAGCTGTGCATGGCACAAGGCTGCAAAGCTGTCAGCCAGCCTCTCGGGGACTGAACTGCCTTCTCGCTCTGTTCACTGCCACCCCTACAACTTCCAGGGCCACCTCCAGGCCTCCTGGATATCTCTGTCCCTAG